AGTCATGCCTAGAATGTTCATGGCAACACCACACACACAGCCTTAACCTGGCAGTCACCCAGGTGTCCACTAACAGAATGAATAAATCAACTGGGAAATAATCACATAAATGGAAAAACATACAGCAATGAAACTAAGCCATCTACAACTGCACACAACAAATTGGGTGAATCCTGTAAACACGAAGTTGAATGAAGGAAGTCAAAATCAAAAGGACAGACACCCTGTATGATTTTACTAACATAAAGTATGAAAAGAGGAAAAATTCATCTACACTATTAGAAGTCAGGAAAACATCAGAGGGAAAGCCTGGATGGGAATTCAAGAGGGGTTGATCCTGGGGTTCCATGGCACTAGTGGTAAAGAACCCACCTGCCAATGCAGGAGACATAAGAGATGTGAGTTCGATCCCTGGGTCAGGAAGATCTCCTGGCGGAGGGCATAGCAACCACTCCAGTATTCTTGCCTGGAGAATCCCCACGGACAGAGGAACCTGGTGGGCTACAGTCCATAGGGTCACACAGAGTCTGAAATGACTTTGCAGGCAGGCAGGTTCAATTGTTAAAGTCACACAAATTTAACCTACTGTGGACTTCTCTGTATGTATATTAGACTTCAATAAAAAGCTTCTATTTTAAGCATACAGTGCCAAAGAAATGAAAAGTGCCACTTTTTATTTCTGTTCCTTAGAGGTGAGGAACTGTAAACAGAGGCTAGGTGCCTGTCTTCCCAATGGGCAGCTAAACAGGGCTCAGGAGGAAAAAAACCCAATCTCAGGAGATTAGAGAAGAGTCTGGAGCCCCAAGTTGTGACCTGAGAGCTGATCATGCACCAACCTGCTTCTCCCAAGAGACAGGGCCTGGGGAGGGGGCAAGTGGCTGGAAGACAGGCTGAGATGGCCCACGAACTCAAAAGGGATGGTCCGGCTACCCCTATCCTCTGCCCTCCATAGCAGAACTCCCAGTTGTGGGAATTCCCTGGCAGTCTAGTGGTTAGGACTCTACGCTTTCACTGCAGAGGACCAGGGTTCAATCTCTGGTTGGGCAACTAATATCCCGCAAGCAGCACAACCAAAAACAAACAAACAAAAACCTTCCATTTGTGTTAGGGCCTGGTCATGTCACCAGCAACCCTGGGAAGTCACTCCTTCCCCTCTCAGTTCACATGGTTCTGCTTGGGTGGACCCCACCAGCAGCTCTGGGTGTGGGGCTGTGCTCCCCATTTTTCTTGCCACATGGGGAGAAACTTGCCAGAGAATGAAGCAGAAAGAGGAAACAAAAAAAAGGGAAGCAGAAATGAAAAAATAAGGACTGAGTCCTTGAGATCTTCTTGGAGCATCTAGATCTAGCTATGCCTAAGGTCACATCCTGAACTTATTACGTAAACCACTGAATTCTGTTTTGCTTAGGGCAGATTGAATTACATTTGTCACTTATGTCACTGTGACAAATGTTCCCCATCGCCACTCTCCAGAAGCCTGCGTGCATTCCCAGAGACTAAAATGGGCATTATCATACCCCCTGCCAACTGCCATCGCAGGCATCCCTCAGTGTCAGAGCTTCTGGGCTTCGACAAAGCACCCTCATATTCTCCAATCCATTCAGTCATCACCAGAGACATGAGCTGCAGGTGTAACTCTTCTCCCCGTCCCCACCCCTCTTTTTTTGGCTACATCATGCAGCATGCAGGATCTTAGTTCCCTGATCAGAGATTGAACCCATGTCTCCAGCATCAGGACTATGGAATCTTAACCACTGGACGACCAGGGAGGTCCCACCATTCCCCCTTTCTTTGCCATACTAAGCTTTTCGAGAGCTGGGAAGGAAATTGAATCCTGCTCTCACAATGAGAAGAATGAGGCTCAGAAAGAAGAGGAAGCCTACATACAACCAGAACTAATAACAAAACTGCGGAGGGCTTCCCACATAGGTCAGTTGGTAAAGAATCCACCTGCAATGCAGGAGACCCCAGTTTGATTTCTGGGTGGGGAAGATTCCCCTGGAGAAGGGATGGGCTACCCACTTCAGTATTCATGGGCTTCCCTGGTGGCTTAGATGGTAAAGAATCTGCCTGCAATGTGGGAGACCTGGGTTTGATCCCTGGGTGAGGAAGATCCCCTGAAGAAGGGAAAGGCCACCCACTCCAGTATTCTGGCCTGGAGACTCTTTGGCGTCGCAAAGAGTCGGACACAACTGAGTGACTTTCACTTTCATGGAGGGCTTGGAAATTTTTCGAAAGGGCAAAGAGCAACATTACTCAGGCTGTAATGTTGATGCCTGAACCCCAAATTTGAGAATCTGGTTTTAATCCTTGTCCATAAAGATAACCTCATCAGATTCACATCCTTCCATTAGAATAATAATAGGGACCATTTATTGAGACCCCCCACCCTCGCCCCAGTCAATCAGCTAAGCATTCATTTTCTTTTTTTTTCTTTCTTTTTTTTTTTCATTCACTTTCTTATAGGATCCTTATTTGAGGCAGATTCTGCTATTAGGTCCATTTCACAGCTGAGGAAAGTGAGGCTTAAGCAGGTGAAGTAGCTTGCCCCAAATGACTCAGTCAAAAAGCAGAGCTGAGCCCCAATAACAAAGGCTGGGGCTGGGCAGAGGCATCAGCGAGAGTGACCTATGCCAAGACTCGACTTATGGGATCCATCGCCCCATCTTCTGCTCACTGCTGGAAGGTTGCCTCCTTCCGCTCTGACATCCACTTCCTTCAGTGTTTCTAGAATCCAGCTTAAAAAAAAAATCTCTCCTGAGCAAACCCTCATCAATTAACTGAGATCCTTCTGTCAACAGCACTATCTCCTTATAACCAACTGGTCCTCTCTTCTTTTTTTTTTTTGGCTGCAGGCATGTTCCCTGATCAGGGATTGAGTCTGCGCCTTCTTCAGTGGAAGGCAGAAGGCAGATTCTTAGCCAATGGACCACCAGAGAAGTCCTAGTCTTCTTTCCTGCATTAACACACCTCTAGGTCAATGACTCAAGCTGGATCATCTGCACACCCCCTGGTCAGCTGCCTGCATCCTCCACACGGCCACCAGAGTCAGCTTTGATAGAACTTAGATCACATCACTTCACACTCACCAGGATGGTTAGCATCAAAAAGACAATAACAAGAGTGGGCAAGGAAGGCAAAGCAATTAGAACCTTTGTATGTTACTAATGGGAATTTAAAACGGCACAGTTGGAAAAAAAAAAAAAGGGCGCAGCTACTTTAGAAAACAGTCTGGCAGTTCCTCTGGAGATTAAATGTAGTTACCTCATGACCCAACAATTCCCCTCCTACGGATCTACCCTGAAGAAGTGAAAATGTCTGTTCACACTAACACTTGTACATGAATAGTCATAGTATCATTATTCACAAAAGCCAAGAAGCAGAAACAACCAAAACGTCTATCAGCTGACTTATGGGTAAACAAAATGTGGTCTATTCATATAATGGGATGCTATTCATCCATAAAAAGAAGTACTGAGACATGTTACTACACGGATGAACCTCAAAAACATGAGGCCAAACGAAAGAAGCCACATACAAAGGACCACATATTATGATTCCACTTATACGAAATGTCCAGAAGAGACAAACCCACAGAGGCAAAAAAGTGGATTAGTGGTTGTCAGGGGATGGAGGGAAAGGGGAATTGGGAGGTACAGAGTTTACTTTGGGGGTGATGAAAATGTTCTGGAATTAGTGGTTAACGATTACATAACACTGTAAATATATGAAGAACCACTGTGGAAATCCCTGGCTGTCCAGCAGTTAGCACTTGGCGCTTTCACTGCTGCAGCCAGGGTTCAATCCCTGGTCAGGGAACAAGATCCCACAAGCCCTGGGATGCAGCCAAGAAAAAAAGAGAGAGAGAACCACTGAACTGCACGCTTTAAAATGGTTAAATGGTGAATTTTATGGTATATGAAATTTCTCAATTTTAAAAATGTTTTAAATTCCCCCTCCCAAGAAAATAATCAGATCACAATGCTACTCCCTCACCACACTTTAAAATCCCCCAAGGGCCTTCCCATTATACCAGGAGACAAACCCAGGTTCCCCACCAGGGCCTAGAGGGCCCGCTGTGGGCCTGGCCCTGAGGCCTCTCCCACCTCTCCTCACTCCTCCCATTCTTCCCCCACCTTCTGCCCTTGTTTATCCCTCCATCTAGAATGTTCTTTCCCACAGTTAGTTTCTCATCAGTCAGGTCTCTGTCCAAATGTCCTCATCGCCTCCACCCAGAGGCCCTCCTACCTCCATCTAAAATAAACATAGCTCCAACAACCTCCATCCCATTACGCTGCTTTATTTCTTCATAGCCCCATCACCTTCTGAAAAGATATAAATTTTTAAAAACGGTTTACTTCTTCTTTGCCTGTCACTCCAACCAAGAGGGCAGGGCTCTTGTCGGTCCTGTTCATAGCTCTGAATTCGCCTACCATGAATGAGTTACTTGAGAAACACTTCTGGAAAGAATGGATGTATCGAACAACTGCCTGTAAAATGTGAAAGGCCACCCACTACCTGGTCATGAGTCCGGGACACTCAGTGATCAGCCGAGTTCTACAGGTGTCCAGGGCCAAGCCCCGCCCTAGACCTGTCTTGAACCCAGAGGAAGTAGGAAAGAGTAATCCCTCCCCCTTGGAAGTTCTCAAAGTCTTTCGGGGGTCACACAGCACCCAATGTTTACCCAGCAACCCACAAACAAACACCAGGAGAGATCTAAGATTGCCTTGCTGACACTCAAGCTGGAGGCTGGGGTCCAAATCGGCCTCATAAAACTGCACTGGTAAACACCCTCTAATACAGCTTCTTACGGCTCTGCAATCCAACCTGTTCTCCAGAGTGAGACGGTTGCAGCTCACACCTGCTCCTGCCTCCTCCCATGAGGACTTTCTTTCCAGAGGCAGTTAAATATCCAAATGGGCAGGTGGTACCGGCCTTGCTCCCCGGGCCCCCCACCCCCAACTGCAGCATCTCCGCCACACATGCAAACAGCAACTTACCCACTAGGAGTTTGACATCTCGGACTGTGAAATCAGGGTCAGGCATCCTGGAAAAAGAGGAACGCAGACATTTGGTGGGAAGCCAGAAACAATAGGGTTAGATCTCACAATGGGGGCAGGGGGAGGCCATTTTTCTAAGAGACTTCTCTGGGTCTCCGGCTGAGAACCCACAATGAAATAACTCAGCAAAAGGGTAGTGATGAGTTGGTGCCTGGAGGGAGGGCCACCCCGGAACAAGTGAGCAGTTTTCTCAACTCAACAGGCAAATCAAACCCCACTCTCCCCAACACCGAAATTCAATACTGCTACAGAGAAGAGAATGGAACTCACTGTCCCCCCACCCACTTTTCCTGGGAAGACTGAGTGTGCTGTCAAGGTAAGCACCAGAGTTGGGCATTCAAACCTCTGCTTTCTTTTAGAGTGGCTAGCTCTCTCTGTGGCTCCACTTTTAGAAAATACTTCCCATGAGGCATTGTATGGAAGGTGGGAGGAACCTTGTTAAGTTTAGAGGAAAAAAAAAAGAACTACATCACATCAGATTGCAGGGATTTAGTGACCCTGGCTACTATGGCGGTGATGATGTTCTCTATTAATTGTCAGTGATGCCAAAGGTTTCATTTCTATTCATAGGAATGAGACTCTTGAGCAAATCTGGCAGTATTTGCTTGTGGAAGGAGGCAGGCTGTGAGGAGGACACCCTCAACCTCCTCCAACCCCTGCCCCAGGGGCAGAAACCTGTTCTTCAAGGCTTCCTCCGGGATCTCTCCCCCACCTGGAGCTCTGACAGATTTCCAAAGAGAATGTAAACCAAACAAGCCACTCTGGGGAGGCAGGTGCTGGGGCACCAGCGGAAAGAGGAGACAGGACCTAGCGTTCTGACATCCCCTCCAAGGACTTCCCCAGCGGTCCAGTGGCTAAGATACCACACTTCCACTGCAGGGGACACAGGTTCGATCCCTGGTCGGGGAACTAAGAACCTGTATGCCACGAGGCAGGGCCAAAAAGAAAAAAAGGAACATGCCCTCCAAAGAAAAGGACCAGTTTCCCATACAGTGGGAGTCTGAGTAGAAACAGGCATGTAGGCATTCTGCCTCTCCGCCCAAAGGCTGGCTAATCCCTTCTCAGCTTAGGCACTGCTTCAGTTTCCGTTTAGGAAGGAAAGTCCACACCGCTGAAGTACTCTGTGACCTCTCCATCCAAATTCTCTGAAATTCCAGACCCATTGTTGGAGATATGTTCCCCCCTCTTTCAGGCATTGAACAAGGAGGTGCAACCCCCAATTAACAAAGAAAAATCCTGCTCAGTGACGAAAGGTAGGGGAAAGAGTGGAAGAAATGCATCCCAACCTATAAACTGCGTGAGGGAAGGAGACAGGGGAAGAAGCAATTCATTTCAGCAACTTACTTAATTCCCAGGCCATCCTTTTCTCGAAATACCAGGGGAACTCTGAGAGCTTCTCTCTGCACATACTCATAGTTGAAATCTATTTGGAGACGGGAATTAAATCAGGTTGGTTAAGTCACGAAGGAGGAAATGAACCATGATCCATCACTTAGGGGAAGAACACTGATGGAGGAAGGGGCAGGGGTTATATGAGATGCAGGCACCAGCTCAAAGAACAAGAGATCCCTAGAAAATGACAAGGAAATGGATGAGGCAAAGCCCAGGAGAAGCTATGCCAACTCTTGGCCCCTCTGCCTACTCAGTCATTCCCTGCATGCCCCACGGGTCAGAACTTGTCAATGAACAGCCCAAGGGCTGTGAGGGTTGGGGAAGGAAACTCAGGAAAGAGCCCCAAACAGAAAGAGCCCCAGCTCTCACTGCGAAAGAAGGACGGATGGAGAAAACGCATCCCAGGCTGAGCTCTGAAAGTAAAGGAACTGCAGAACTGAAGAATGCCACCTGGGAGGATCTGAAGCCCCATAGAGGAGGCTGGGAGGAGGGTTCTCATTGTAGCTGAGCATCAGGGAAGATCTTATTGTAATATCCTGCATAGTGAAGTGGGGGGGGGGGGAGCCGGTTTCCCTGGAAACTGTGTATTTGGTGCCAAAATAACTAGGGAACTGGGCACAGCTTTGTTGTCTTAATAGTGAAATTCTGTTGCAGCCATCACAACACTTGCTTCAGCTGGATAATCCAGAAGGATGCTGCCCAGGTGAAGGCTGTATGAAGAGGACAGAGTGAGGCCCAAAGAAAATTCACCACTTAGTTTTCTGTCTGATGGATGCTTGTCTAGTGGAGACCCCAACATCCTTACAGAATGCCCCAGAGAATGAAGGAAGCCTTAGTTTCCATCCTCCTGAGTTCCAAAAGTAGGGGAGCTCACTCAACCTTATCCCTAAATATGGAGATGAGGGAGGCGGAGACAAACACTCACACCCCCCCAAGCCCTCAGGTAACTAAAGCAATTCACAAAGACACAAGCCCGCCCTGGCCAGTCAGAAGGGAGACAGATGGGATCTCAGGGCACTGAAACCCCTGCCCCAGAGAAACAGTTCACTAGGGCAGCTTGGGGGGTTGCAGGGGCGGTGAGGCCAAGGCAACTCTGCTCAGAGCAGAGAGAACAAAACCAGAGCTGAGGAAAGCCCTGACCTTAGCAGCTCAGATCCCCAGGGGCTCCTAGTGAATGGGGATTCCTAAGGATTTAAAGGCAGAGAAGTTTAAGAAGCTTCTATTTTGAATCCAGGCTAAGGGCTCCTTCTGTTTCTCAGCTCCTCCCTCGAGTTTTGGGGCAAGATCTGAATTAACAACCAACAACCCTAGAGTCCTCTTCTTTGAAAGGAGCCTGGACAGTAGATTTAAGGAATCTCCCTTTCTGGAAACCTCCCCCCACTACCACCTTCCTCCCCAATACACACACACCCAAAGTCCAGCCCCAGGGTCAGCTTCAACTTCCTCAAATGAGCCTGAGAAAACATGAGATCCTGGGCAGAGAATTCCTCACCAATGACCAGGAAGAGTTGCATACTGTTTTCTCCTAAAATGTGCCAAACGACTCAAGAAAAATGGGGAAGGAGAGGAATTAAAATCCCATTTGTGCTAAGGAAATTTAAATGTAGTTGGGTCTAGACCCCTGAACTATCCAGCCTCTGTGTGCAATGCTCTTTAAGACCTCGCAGGCTGGAAGAAATTTCTTCCTCCTTTCCCCTACAACTACCCCCTACCACCCGAACCCGGGCACTCCAGGAAGCAATGGACACAAAAGAGAAACTTCAAAAATGCAAAGCCAGGCCCCATCTCTCCTAGGGGCTAACCCCACAGCCCCAGTCACTCAACCAGAACCTGGAGGTGGGGGAGGCTCTTCCCCTGTTATCAGCTCACTGAGGGATTGGAGGGTTTTCCAAGGGGGATGGGGGATCAACAAAATAGAAACCCAAAAGGGAAACCCAAATAACTGAGAGGCAAAAATAAACTTAAATCACAGAAGGGCACAGAGAGACAAGTAGGCAGAAACAAATCCAAAACCCCAATCCCACAAGCCCAACCAGGGGCCTTGCAGGCCTTAGACCCAAGTCAGAGCATCACTTAAAGGTCTGGAAGACACCCCCCAGACATCTTGCGAGTACCAGGGTCAGGCTGAAAGTCAGGCCCCAAAGGTCTCAGGTTGGGGTGACATTGCCAACCCCCATCCCCAGGCTTCTCCAACTTCTCTAAACTGGCAGGGCTCACAACAGGGACAGAGCTCTCAAGGCCTCAGACTTGGGGAGAGACCCTGTTTCCCAGGAGGGTGCCCCAAGTCTTCACCTCCAACTGCCAGGAGGAAGCCTGAAGCCCGAGGGGGGATAACCCCTTTACCGGCAGTCCCCACTTCAAAGCGTCAGGGCTGCAGGACTAGAGGCCTCGGGCTTCACTGGGGGCCAGTCAACAACTCCGGGCTCACCTACCCTGCTCCTGTCTGGCAAAACCCACGAGGTGATGGGGTGCAGTAGACCCCAGGCCTGAGGAGGTGTCACTAAGTGACCCGGGCCGTCCCCAGCTCCAGATCCCAACTGGCAGGGTCCGAAATGGCACGGGGTTAGGGAGGCTTCAGGCCTGGGGGGCCCTCACCCCAATGGCCCTGGGGTGACCCTAGCCCGCTGCAGCCGGTCAGCCGCACTTCGTGCAGCGCAAGGAGCGGGGCCGGCTCCGGGAGGGGTAGAACGCGGCGCACCCGCCCTCCCTCGGTCCACCCGTCGGTCCCCAGGTCCCTCAGTCCGCCGGGCCCCTGGCTCTGCCCACCCTGGGGCTGGTGGTGGGCGCGGGCCGGGCCTAGGCCCACGGCCGGCCCCGGCTCCCGCCTGCCCTCCTCCCTCGCCACCCCACCCCACCCCCCCCAGTGCTCGGCCTCGTTTCGTCACCGGATCCCCTGGAATGGGGGACGCGGGCGCGAAATACGAACCCAGCCACCGGCAGCTCCCTCCCCACGTGCGCTCGGGCCTCGCCGCGGAGGACAGCCCGAGGAGGGGGCGCCTCACCTTTGCCCTCCATGGCGTGCACGAAATCCCCCTGGTACAGCTGGCTGCGCAGCTTTTCCTCCAGGCTGAAGCCGCGGGCGCTGACGATCTCCTCCACGTCCGACAAGTCCTCGTTCTCGTCGTATCTCTGGCGGTCAATCGGGCGCTGCGGGGACCCAAACCGGAGAGCCCGGGACATTATTGGGGGAACTGGGGGTCGCCTCTCACCCTGGGCCCAGCTCGAACAGGTGCAGGAGCCTCGTGCCCCCCTGCACCCCACCTTTGGAACCGGAGCAACTTCGCGCAGAAGCCAAAGATGCTGAAAATCGGGATAAGGAGAGGGACCTGCACCCCCCAGGGTCAGGCGGCGCCCTATACAGGGCACTCCCCTCCTGCATCTTTGGAGGCCGTGGAAGGGATTTCTGGGGCACTCTCCCCTTGCTTCCAGCCCCCCACCCCCGAGAGGTGTTGAGTTTTGCCCACTCGACCGGGAGCCTGGTTATGTAACCCGCGAGGGGGGCTCCGCGCACGGGCTGGCGGGGCATTTGTAGGCCCCGGGAGGAGCCGCCGCAGCGCCCGGCTCGGCGGTAACAGCAGCCCTGGCGGCCGCGGCGGCAGAGCCGGGAAGCCGGAACCGGGGGCCGGCGGCATTTCTAAGCCTGGAGCCGCCCCCCGAGCTACCGGGTAAGCTGGAAAGCTGAAATGGAAGGGCTGAGACCCCAGCCGCCCCCGCCGACCGACCGCTAGTGCGAGAAGAAGAGGTGGGGAGGGGGGGTTCGCGGCTTGGGAGGGGGAGAGGCAGACGGCCCGCCACAAAGCTCCCATCGGAGACCCCAAAACGCACCAGCAGCTGCCTCATCTCCCCACAAGCGCGCGCGCACACTCACTTCTTTAGGAGAATCCCCCACCACTCCCCGCATCCCCTGCCTCCTCCCTCCACCGCCGAGCGCCCGGCCCCGCAGCCCCCCAGATTCCGGGCGAACCCCGAGCCCGCTGAGCACCCCCCCTCCACGCCTTTCCCCGCTACCACCTCCCCACATAAGTGTCTGAGACTCAGTCTCACAAGGGACTGGAGGAGTAAGCTGCTTGCTTCCTTTTGCATGCAATTTATTATATTTTTTTCCGGTCCTCTTGCAAAATACAGAAAAGGAAAGAAAAGGCAGCAAGAAACAACGACCAAAAAAAAATAGATCTATCATAAACCAGATACAGATTTGGAAAAAAAAAAAAAAGCTACACACCAATCTTCTTCCAGAGTCTTTCTCTGCCTCCATTTTTTTAGGAGAGTTCACCAATTAATTGTCAACACTCCTGCCCCCTGCATTTTGGCGGAGGGGGGAAGGAGGGAAGACCAAAGAAAACAAACCAGAAAATAAATAAATAAAGCAAGCCAGAGCCGAGATCTACAAAGTTTTGCACCAACACTTAAGCAGATCCGTTTGCAAAGTCCTAGGAAACCATTTTCAGCAGTTGGGGGGGGGGGGAGGCGTCGACGTCATAATCCCCGGAACGTAAACATTGTTGCCGATCGCGCTCGGAGCCCGCGGCCGGGCTAGTAGCGGGAGGGGGCACTCGGCCCGGGATGGGGGCGGGAGGGGGCGGCGGCCCGAGGAGGTGTGGGGCGGGGAGGGCGCCCGGGAGGCACCGGGCGCCGTTAGCGCCCTGGCATCGCTGTTTTGTTGTTGGGTCACGAGTGCGCCTCTGCACGCAGGCGCCGCCGCCGCCCGGGAGTTGTGTGCAGAGCTGACTTTTGGAAGGGCTGAGTTGCAGGCGGCGGGCGCATCCCGGAGATGGCGGGGCAGGGAGGAAGGGAAGGAGGGAGGGGGTGGGGAGGGAGGTGCAGATTTGCACGGCTGGCCTCAGCGGGAGGCGCGGAAATGCAAGCCGAGCCTGCTGGAGTGAAAGCCCCCGGGGCCTGGCACCCCCGAAAACGACCTCCCACCTTAATCCCTGCCCCCATCGCCCACGGCCCCCACGGGCGACCCCTCTTCTTCCTCTTCCTTCATTTACCCCACCTCGTTACCTACGTGGCTGACCCAAATTCAAAGCATTTTGTGTGTATATATATATATTTTTTTTTCTTTTCTGCTATGTCTTTTTTGTTGGGGGGGGTGGAGAACTCCTCTCTAGAGCAGTAAGCAGATCGGCCACACGGAGGAAACATTTGGGGGCTCAGGAAGAAATTAGCGCAGCTCCATACCTGTACGGACTACATAACTCTTAAACTACTGGACTCAAAGGATCCAAATACACACAGGTACAGGAAATACAGCCAGACCAAAGCCTTTTCAGACCCGAGCTGACCGGAAGACGCTGCCTTTCATTCATTCATTCTGCCCGCGTCTGTGGAGTCCTTTACTAGGCGAGAAGCCCTAGAAGAGAAGCTGGACATTTTTTAAAGGTCCCTGCGCTCTCCAAGAAGAGGAAATAGATGCTCAGAAGTGAACTACCGAGAGAATCGGATCTGGCGCCTCCTAACGCAGCTGGCAGACATGCGAAGGGTAAGCCCTTATTGGCGGGTTACAGGAGAAATGTCGGTGGAAAGGTGCAAGGCGCTGGGATGGGCCCAGGGAACTTTGGGTGCACCTTGATTAATCCTACAGTGCTTCTTGGCGGCGGTATGGGCACCCTCTGTATATATATATGGAGTGTCATTAGATCTGGGTATACTTACCTGTCGACATACCTAGTTCACTGTGCCCACCTCCCAAAACTAGAATGGTAAAGGTGTTGTCCTGTAAGTTCATCATGAACAACAGTCGGGTCGACTTTGACTGTGAGGAAAAACTGGCCCTGAACATTCTTCCAGCCCAACTAGGCCCGATCTTGAAGGTAAAGATCATGATGAGATAATAAGGCACCTGGGCTACAAGAAAGGAGCCTTATACCTGCTCATAGGTGGCTTTGCAAAAAGAAAGACTTCCCATACTTTTTTATTTTTACTTCTTTCCTGAATCCTGTGGGATAGTTGGAGCAGATCATTTTGCAGATAGGAAACTGAAGCTCAGAGAAGTTTTGAATCTGGTTGATTGCTCTACCCTCATATCCTCCTCCTGTCAACACAGTGATCAGACAGATAAGTGGAGAGGAAGTGGCTTCCCCATCAGCGATCAGATGTGAACCATCAGCTCAGTGTTGGTCACCCTATGAGACAGCTCCCCCCTCACTCACCTTGAAGTTTCCTCTCCTATCTTTCTGTATCTTTTTCCACCCACCCTCCAAAGACTACTCTTTGAAGTTTGTTTTAATCCAAGTCCATTTAACTGGCAAACATCACAATTTTTTCCAAACTGAAATCGCCCACCTTGTCTTAATGGGGGTGGGAAGGTTTTTGCCTTTAGCCTGTGTCAAGAACCAGGGACTATTTTATTTGCTTCTTTCACTCGAGAACCCTTTAAGGTAGTTTTGCAAATAAGGAAAGTGCGATTCAGAAAGGGGAAACCAATCCCCCAAGATCACACAGCTGATAAATGGGGTTGCTGGGGCTCAAACTGGAGCCTGCCTCTGCCATCACATCCACTTTTGGATACTGACCCTCTTAACCGCTCCCACATAATGAGATGAAGAAGTGAAGTGAAGTCACTCAGTCATGTCCAACTCTTTGCGACCCCATGGACTGTAGCCCGCCAGGCTCCTCCATCCATGGGGATTTTTCAGGCAAGAATACTGGAGTGGGTTTGCCACTTCCATCTCCAGTGGGATCTTCCCTGACCATGCAGTGGGCTGGAAGGTCATGAGTTAAGTGCAGTAAAGCAGAAAGTGTGAAGCAAATCACTTAGTCTTAATTCTCCTTTCCTCACAAGACCTTTCTGTCTCCCCATGTGGTCGGTCTCATGGTATCCCCAAAAGCTGGTGTCAAGAGAAGACCCGATGGCAGACACCTTAGTGTAAAAACAGTTAAGTCCATATATCACCCGGATGGGGAGTTCCTGGCCTGTTGGAGTGGGAAGGGGTTGAGTAGTCACCTAATTTAATCCCGTCCCTTTACAAACTGCCAGGAAACCACACACCAGAGAAAAGAATGGGCCAGCCAGGGGTTTGTTCCCCTTTGACGCCCCCAGAGTGCCTACCCTGCCGCCAGGTCCTAAGTGGTCATTCCATAAATGTTGGGCCCTTGATGGATCACCTTCCTTAGCAATATTTGCATTTTCCCTTTATCAGTAATTGGCAGATGAAAGGCTTTGTCCTCCTGTTGAAAGAATTCCAGGCATTTGGTCAAAGTGGGGGGGAGGAGGTTATGTTGGGCCAAAGGGGGAAGGGCCAAGACCCTTGAGCTCCTTCCCTGGCTAATTGTCCCAGAGGAGTGGACTGTAGGTGAGAGAGGGAAGGGAAGCTTAAGGTGATTCCCCAGGAGAGGGTTTTTGTTTGGTTTTGTTTTGTTTTTATCTTGCAGGAAAAAAAGGACCAGGCCAGTTGTATTTGAAACAAAATAATAATGACTTTTGGACCTTCTTGCTCATTCTTACAAAAGGCCCAGTCAGATCCTGGCTGTGTTGGCCCCATTCATTCATTTCTTCATTCATCATAGGTTGATTGAGCAGCTCCGTGCTCTAAAGACTTCGAGGATGGAAAAATCAGCTCTGATTGTAGCCTCTTCCTCCAGACTGGGCAAGGGGTAGGCTGCCAGCTTCCCAAACAAGTCAGGAAGGACTGATACTGGATGGAACCCCCAGAATCTAGGATTTTTCACACTGTTAGAAACTGAAGCTGTCATATTCATGTATCATTATAATAGCTCCTGGTTTTTGAGAGCTTACTCTGTCTTTGAGCAAAGGCTCTCACATTTTGCTATCTCTTGGAATCCTCATCAAAGTTCTCTGAGAGAGGGTCTGTAATTGCCCACTACAGCTGAGACTCAAAGAGAGGTCAAGTCACTTGCCCACAATTTAGGGCTGCAAAATAGCAAAGACAGGTTTTGAATCCTGGGCCGGTAGGAATCCAGAGCCCAGAGGCTTCCATCTAGTCTTTCCTGCAGGGCGGCCCCATAGAACAAAAAGATGGAAATGTTCTATGTCTGTGCTAACAGAGGAGCCTCTAGCTACATGTGGCTGTTAAGCACTGCCCAAGAATTATTTAATCAGTTCCCCAAATTTCAGAATGAAATGTGAATAGTGGGATTAAAGAACTAAATGCTGAATTTTATTTAATTTTAATTAAATTTAAATAACTATATATAGTACCTCTCTTACTGGACAGTGCAACCTTAGAGTACAAGCCAGAATTTGTCTTGCGGGGGAGGAGGTCAGAAATATCTACAAAGGTTTTCTAGAAGGAGCCATCTGTGCAACATGAATAGAGTGTTAGTGCTTAAACCACCCACTCTGTGTGCCTGCTAAGAGCATGGCACCTTAGGCACCTGGGGATGCCAGCAAGATATAAAATTTTCCCACCTGCCCAGATCTGACAATTAAACTTCTTAGGTACAGATGACTGGTGACAGAGCAGGAAGTCTTAGAAATGGATGACTACTTCCTGATATATATCTGATAGCCAGACTCAAACACAAAGATGCAATGCATTGTAGCCCTGTTTGTAACAGGAAAAGGTTAAAAATGATCTGAAAGTTGGGGAACTGATTAAATAATTCTTGGACAGTTTGTATGCCCAAGGAAATGCTATCAAATCATTAAAAAGAACAAGGTAGCTATATATATGTGTATATATATATATACGCATACATATATATTGTGTATATAGGGCTTCCCTGGCTCAGTGATAAAAAATGCAAGAGATGTGCATTCGATCCCTGGGTCGGGAAGATCCCCTGGAGAAGGAAATGACAACCAACTTCAGTATGTTTGCCTGGGAAATCTCATGGCTAGAGGAGCCTAGCAGGCTACAGTCCATGGGGTCCCAAAAAGAGCTGGATACGATTTAGCAACCAAACAATAACAAACTCTATAGATACTGATGTAAAATGATTTCATGATATCCTTACATTAAAACAAAACAAGGTGTAGAATAATACCAAACTGTGAAGACCACTTATGTAAACCAAAAATCATATATCTATATCTACATTTTTTATATGCACGAAATTTTCTTTGGAAAGAAATACAACTTTTAAATGGGGAAAAGAGCTGGAAAAGACAAAAATACTTTTTCCTTGGTACATTGTGAAATCTTTACCATATATAAGCGTTCATGTTGCCTGATTTTGAACCTTATAGATTTCATTTTATATGTTGTGTTATCTTTTGAATTTTTACTATGCATAGTATAAAATTGTATGTATTACCTACTCAAAATTGAATTTCACTTTATTTGTGATTTT